TTTTTTTTCCTGCTTTTGTAATCACAAAATTTTAAAAGTAAATTTTAAAAAATGGGATAGTATCATATCATCAAATGTGGCATCTTCCTGGAGACTAGGACATGGATGTTCTGTGCCTGCTATTTCAGCACCATTTGATTTTTTCAGTCAGTGCTGCACAGCTCACAAAACTCCTACAGGTAAGGAGAGATGTCATAATATTTCAGGCTCAGCAGAACCGTTGGATATGAAAAGATACGGCCACCTCAGTTGTAATCTTTGCAGATTCCCCCCCCCCCCTCAAAAATTATCAAGGTACTTCACGGTTGAAATTGAATGTTCCTAGTAAGCAGTCATCATCTGTTACCCTACTTGCATAATTCACTGTCACAAACAGGCACTGCTAATAAACAAAAATGTCTTCACGCAAACCACCCCTGAAAAACGTTGCAAAAATAAACTTGGATTTGTACATACAGTTTCCAGAAGTTAAGACTGACATGAAAGCAAGGTAGATAGATAGATAGATAGATAGATAGATAGATAGATAGATAGATAGATAGATAGATAGATAGATAGATAGATAGATAGATAGATAGATGAGAGGGAGAGGGCTTTCTAGGACATTGTTTTTTTAAGCTGTTCTAATTTTATTTTATTTTTTATGTCTTTGAGTCAGTCTTGATTCCTGGCAGCTGCCTGGATTAGTCCCTGCAAGATTTCAGTTTTGCCAAGTTTCTTGGCAAGATTTCAGAAGTGGTTTGCCATTGCCTCCTTCTTAGGGCTGAGAGAGAGTGTCTGGCCCAGGGTCACCTAGCTGGCTTGGTGCCTAAGGCAGGACTAGAACCCACAGTCTCCCAGTTTCTAGCCTGGGGCCTTCACCACTCCACTAAACTGGCTTTCTTGCTGTTCTAACATTTTTGCAATAAATATTGCCGGGCATGGAATAGTTTAGCGCACAGCTTTAAAAGAAAGTGGAAATTGTAGCCTGATTTTTGGTATCTGTGTTCTCCATTTAGCAGTGGAGTTACAGTTAATGAGGCCTCCCAACCGATGGGTCTTCAGAAGCCTCACTCAACAAATAGGGAAACTACAACCCTTAATTATTTTTAGCACAGTTAAATATTGCAATATTCATTATGCTTAAACAGTTAAATATTGCAATATTCATTATGCTTCTCTCTTCTAGAAGACATTGTCATTCTCACTAGCCTCCTCCTCCACCTCATACTTGTTCTTACTAGGGTTTGTACAAACTGGCCCTGGTCATAGGCTGTAGATGGTTATTTCTAACATTTCACATGCTTTTGTTACCCAAAAGCCAGGACATATTTGTAAATAAGCAATGACTGTACTGCTGCAGGCTGAAAGTATATATGGTTTCTATCAAGAGCTAAGCCAAATGATCAATGCTTATATTGTTGAGATCTGTCAGTTTTGGTAACAAGCATGCTGTTTTCCATTTTCTCAAAGATTGATTGTTTATTGTTCAGTTCTATCTAGGGGGATATCTCAGATAGATGAATGTATCATTCTTGGAGTAAATTATCTTCCTTCTTCATCTCTGCAGACAATGGAAAATCCAAAATATGAGCTAATCATAGAAGCAAAGGACATGGCTGGACATGAAGTTGGGTTGACTGGGACCACCACCGCAACGATTGTCATTGATGATAAAAACGATCATGCACCAGAATTCACCAAGAAAGAGGTAAATGTTTATTTCAAAATGCACAAGACTTCCGAGGCGATTGGCTTGAACCTGAATCAGAACTAAAGCAGGGATAATGTTAATGATAGCCTTATAAAAGAATTCTATTTCTCACCCTGATGAACGTCATACTTTATTTTTTTAAAAAGTCAGTAGATATTAAGAAAACTTCAGTTAAATAGGTCGATATATATTAGCTAGACATTCCTAAAACTCTACATTTTTGAAATAATAATGACCAAGAACTAGGAAATGACATCAATATGTATTGGGAATTTCAATTATGGGTCTCTGTCCATGTGGGTGGGTCAAGGCAGGTTTATAGGATAGATATGGGGAATGGAAAAGTCACCTCTAAGTAAGTGGAAACGGTGATTAATATTGACCAAGCTAATGGAAATTATTTAACTGGCCTTGAAATGCATGAATATTTCAAGCCGTTAGGTATTGTTTTACACAGCCCAAATTTATTTCCCTGGGTTTTTTTAAGTTGGAGTAAACCTTCATTTGAATCAAAAGCTGCAATATGAAACTTGATGGAAATCATCATCTTTTGTCAGCCAGCCCTGAAAACAAATTCACTTTGAGAGTGGCTCATTTTGACAGTACCATAATGACTTTTCCAGTATCAGAGCCTCTAAATTTAGTATCCGTTTTCTTCCTCAAAGGATAGATTCTATGATATCACCTCTATTTTTCCTAATGGAAGGTGGGTGGGAGAGGGAAAAAAAATACTTTTGTTGTATAAAACTGGAGTTCACTTATAACTGGAGAAAGCAAACTAGTGTTGGGTAGAACAAGAGAAAGGCCACCATAGAAGTAGAGGATTGGGTGTATTTTACTATTACCCCAGCTTTCACATCACATTTAAACTTAAACATGAAATGCCTTCTATGTGGCAGTTAGCCATCCTTCACTAGTAAATAATAATTTAATAATACATTTGATGTGGAGATGGCCAGTAGTTTAGATATCTTTAGAATAATGGAATCTTTCTAGGATCTTTACAAAGAGGATTAGATGGACATTCCCTCCCATTAAATCCCATCTGTTGGTTTTAGCCTCTGCTCTACCAGAACAAATCTGCTTCAGAATTAACTCCTAGTTTCATAGGTATTAATACAAACCACAATAACATCACAGACATAATTTGTGTTATTGGCACAATGACATACATCATGATATGCTGTACCTCAACAGCTTCCCTTTACATCATCCGCGGACACCCATGGCCAGCTCTGAGTTTGTGGGAATCTTGGATACTGTCCTCCTGGCCAGTTCCCATCTCCATCAGTGACTCTTGGCAATGACATGGTTGGACAGTTCAGGCTAATCATGCAGATTTCCCACAATGCCCCTAATATTTAGTCAAGGCCAATCTCCAAGATCTATCACATGCCACATCTGTGTATAAACTGTGGTTTGTGGAAACCAGAGTTTGTCCAGTCTGGATATCTGGCAAGTTATAGTTAATTTTTATGGAAAATGGAAGGAACTAAGTCCATGAGAAGGGAAACAGAGCATGACTATATTTGTTTGTTTAATTAAGTCAACTTCTTTGACAGCCCATTTATAGCAAGAGATTTTTGACAGCCACATAAATTGATTCTTATAACAACATTAAATTATTCTTGAGCTGGAACATGATGGTCAAATCTTGATTCATACCCTTACCCTTGATTCATACCCAAGGCTGCTCACTCTGTCCTCCTTTTTTCCCACAACAATTCTGTAACGGAGATCAATTTCAACATTTGTTACTACCAGCGTACAGTTGCATTGATTTATGACCATTTCCATATTGCTGACTCCAAAAGGAAAGAGGGCCCTGGGGCTGTGAATTTCCTTCCCAAAACAGCAACCAGACCCCATACCATGGTTTTAAGAAAGCTTCTTTTAAAGTCTTAAGGTGCATTGCAGTGAACCAATTGTACTGTAAGAATCTTCCGTTCCAGCTTTCAAAGGAGATATGAATAAGTACGCTCACTAGAACACTGTGCTCACTGGAACACTTATTCTCACACCTAGCCCACTGGAACATTGTTACAAGCGGTCTGTACTTAACCCAGGCTGTTGATTGGTGTGGAATGATGGCCGGTGCGAGGAAGTGAATTAATTAACCAAAAGGAAATTAAATCACGACACAAAATGTATGCAGCATCAGCCATTAATTGAATTTGCCTCCAGGTGTGGCCACTGTTTCCAGTTAAAGTGTGAGAACTGAGAAAAGAATCAAGCCTAAAAATAGCCTGTGAAAGAAAATTAGTCTCATTAACTAAAGAAACAGAGGTTTAACCTTTTCAGTTGTAATTACAGGTGCTATGAAATAACATTTCTAGAATGTTAGCAAGCCACAGCTAGGCAACCCCAGAGAAAGCAGTAGCAAAGAACTAGGGTTTTGTATTTTTTTTTATTATTGCTTGTTCTTGATGTCTAATTCATCCCAGAAGTTCAGGATACAGGGCAACTTGGAAAAGCAGCACTCTTCTTCTAAAGGAAACCTAAGTAAAATCCCATTAAAATGTGATTGTAGTTTGCAAGCTGAGTTTCTGACAATCTGAGAAGGGAGAGGGTGATCAGGGAGGTGACAAGGGGCCCTGAAATGCAGATATGTTTTCTTGGAAGAAAGCATTTGAATTCCCACTCCCATGGAACTCCCAGTTCATTGATGTTTGCGCTTCCACGTAGCAAAATGGAGCTGTAACATCAGAGCTAAAATAGCCAGCGCTGGTTCGCTCCCTTGCACGGTTTCATTATAATAGATGTCTTTCCCTTTCAGTTGTTTTTCTTTTGATATAGTTCCTTTACAGACGGAGTATAACCCTCTCTCTCTCTCTGATTTTCTCTGCCTTTTATTTCTGGTTTTTTGCACTTCTTTACTTTTCTTTCAAGATATTCGTTTCAGCTCCCTCTCCCCAACTGACCTACATTGTCAACAGAAAGTAGCTTTGGATTCCTCTCCCCCCTTTTTTATGGGGGGGGGGTGCTCTAGGTTTCTTGGGAATGCTGAAAACTTCTTACTGAAAGTCAGATGCGTTGCACCAGGAACCGCAGAGCAATACGGCAGGAGTGCATTTTTTCGTTCTCTTTCGTCTCAACCCAAAAGGTGGTGGAGAGAGATCTTTCTCCTGATTCATTTCTCAGCTTCATTCCTTTTCCGTGGGATTTGCATAGCAGCTTGGCGATATGAATTGTACATAAGCTCTGAGTGTTTTCGGTATCTTTCCTTGCTCCCACTGGATGCTGAAAGAAGACTGACAGTCTGTATATGAAGACAGATATAATATCAATGGGGATATTCCACACATTCCTCGGCAGGCACATAATTCTGGATTCAGGATCTCAAACCCTGTGGCTGTTTTGCCCATCGTCCCATGCCTGAAGTTCTCAAAATCACTTGCCTTTGCTTTCTCAAATAAATACTTCAATAAAATATTATATTCAGGGTGTGAGTGCATGATGGCTGCACTGTACAATAGATGAAACAACATTTTTCAGGGTCTTTTCCAGGAAATTGTGTTTTGGGGGTTTTTTTCCTTCCTTTTTTGGCCTGGCTGCCTCTAGTTTAAAGGTTACCCTACAGTCTTTGGGGTATTTTCAACACCAAATGGTAAGGAAGTGTGACACCTATTTTATTCATTTTGCTTATTCAATTTTGATGCTGCCTGACTCCGACCAGCTCTGGCCAGTTCAGAGAATTTTCTGCTGTAATTCAGTAGGATAGTTAGCGAGGTCTCTGGGACCTGCAAAAGGAAGGGTGATCCTGGGGCCATGAACAGCATGTCAGCAAATATTTCTATCCTTTTGGGATAGAAGGGAAGGGAAGGGAAGGGAAGGGAAGGGAAGGGAAGGGAAGGGAGGGGAAGGGGAGGG